ATATATAAGAAGGGAGAGGGGAATGAAAGAACAAAGCAGATGGGAGAACAATTAGGCAGGTTTGCATGGGCTAATTGGACAAAGGTAAAGAATGATGTATGCACAACCTTGGAACAACAGGGCTCTGGGATACAGGAATTGAGACATGGTTGGAATGGGGAAAAGGGGGTAAATAATGTTAAGATGCTGTCTTTTGAAAGTTGGTTCTCCTTGCATTATATTATAAAATAGACACTGGAGGGGGAGAGATAGGAATAGCCAGAAATATCACCATAGAAAGCTTGTAAGTCCATCTTCTGCTTATAACTGATTCGAACACCTAAAATGGGGCTACAACATGCCCAGTGAAGGAGGCTTCCTGTGGAGTCTCTGCATTACATAAGATTATAGGTGGAATCCTGAACAACATCCAGAATCTTCAGAGATGGGAAATTTCCACTTGAAAGGATGGGTGGACCGCCTGGAAAGGCTAAAAGAACAGAAGATACTTCTTGAAAGAAAGACCTACAGAAAAATTACAAAACAATATAGGCAGACCAGCTGATTACTATAAGAACAAGCAAGTTGCTTGCCCAGGAGACATCAGGGCAAGTGGTCAGGTCCCCTCAGAGCAAACGCCCTTTCAAGACTAAGAAGACTCAATGGGAATATACACTCTAATTGGTGACGACATTCATCACCAATAAGGGTAAGCGAGGGATAAACAGCAATGAAGTTGCAAGCTAAGCCCTACAACATTCAATAGACTCCTGTGAGCCTGGGTGGAGATCTGGTTGGCCAGCAGTGTGGCAAGACCTGGGGCCTCTTGGACCCAGAGTCAGTGACATAGCCACAGAGGACTAGAATGGAGAGAGAAGCATCCAGCTGATAAGAAGAGAGGGCATATGCACAAGAACACCCACACTTGCAGATAATACTCACTTGACCTGGCTACAATGACTGAATGATCAGAGCTCAACTAGAAGAAGAAAGAAGATGAATAAAAGAGTAGTCTGATACAATTTGATGAATTTGACCTAAACTTATAGATGTAGTAGCTCAAAAGAGGGAACAAATCTTTTCAGCGAGGACTATTCCCACCGCCTCCATACACAGAGTAGACAGGGATGGGCAACTTGGACATTGGCTACCCAAAATGGGGGTTGCTACAAAGGCAAGAAGTGACTGGCTTACAAGCTTTCAAAAGGGAACCTAGATCCAGAGGGCCTGGAGGAAGGTAGAATCTCCAGTGAGTAGTATTCAATTTGTCTAGGTGGGGCTGATGCAATGAAATGCAGATGAGTCTCCTGTGACACAACAGTGAATAATTGTTAACAGGACTGATTGTGAGGGTTGGAAATGTAAAGGTAGACATTTTATAGCAAAGAGGGGAGTGATTAACTTTGCAGTCTAGGAGCGGAGGTCCCTGGGACCATTAACTGAGAAGAACGGAGAGTAGGACCCTACCCAGAGAAGCAGTGGTGCCTGAGATGGAGGCAGAGATGATGACGTGGAGAGATGGAGCAGCTGGGGACTTTAGACACAGAGAGGGAGAGGGGCTGTGTGCTGACAACTGGGGGGCAGGCTTGTAGGATATTCTCTTTGATTGATTGATGATGCATGGAGGGGATTGTAACCATGGCAATGAAATGATATACAATAGGATGAATGTAAAACTAATGGTCTCCCATGTAAACTGTCACATAATTCACAATAAAACATTAAAAAAAAAAAAAAAAAAAACAGTCACAGGGCTAAGAATATTCTAGTGGGAGGAAAAGGGAAATCATGTTTATTCCTCAGGAATATTGAAGTGCCCTTGAGTAAGCTGACATTCTTCTGGAACAATGTTATCAGTAATGTTTTATACTCTAGCATACTGTTTATTTATTTTTTAATCAAATCTGTTTCTTGTTTTGTATTTTCTGTCTGAAAATTGCAAAGATGTGTTCTTACAGGAAATAAGCAAAATAGGAAGCCCCAGCAAAAAATGAATTACCATCACTCTTTCCAGTCTCTTTCAAAGAATAGAATAGAATACACCCTAACCTATTTTATAAGGCCAGCATTGTCCTGATACCAATGCCAGGTAAAGACATTGCAAGATAACAATGAACCTACAGACCAATAAATACCCTTTATTAATTGTGGCACTGTGGGTTAATGTGCTGGACTGCAAGGTCAGATTGAAATACAAGGTCGGTGGTTCAGCTCACCAGCTGCTCCTTGGAAACTGTATACAGGGTCACTGTGAGTTGGAACAGACTCAACGCCACCTAACAACAACAACAATTAATATAAAACCAAAAAACTTACTTCCATCAAGTTGACTGCAATTCATATTAACCATAATAGGACATAGTAGAACTGCCGCAAAGGATTTTCAGTGCTGTAAATCTTTATAGAAGCATACTGCCACATCTTTCTCCCACAGATGGTTGCTGGATTTGAACCGGTGACCTTTCAATTAGCCAGCTGAATGCTTTAACAACTGTTCCATCAGGGCACTTTAATATAGTCTTAACAATATTCCTCATATAGATGCACAAGTCTCAACAAAATACTGGCAAAGGATTATAAACCATGACTAATTAGTATCTATCCCAGTAAAGCAATGGCAGTTGAATATATAAAAAAAACTATCAATGTAATGTTGTTGTTGTTAAGTGCTGTTAAGTTGATTCCAACTCATAGCAATCCTATATAGAGTTTCTGAAGAGCAACTGGTGAGTTTGAACTGCTGACCTTGTGGTTAGCTGTCCAGTGCGTATCCTACAGTGCCATACCAGAACTCTATGACTTGGCAATTCCGCTTTTAGTACTTTGTTGTTATTATTATACCATCAAGTCAGTTCTAACTCATTGCAGCCCTGTGTAGAGTTTCCAAGGAGCAGCTGGTGGATTTGAACTGCTGGCCTTGTGGTTAGCAGTCCAGGGCTTATCCTACAGTGGCCACGCCAGGACATATAATACCTTGCAAATAAGACCCAAGCAGATACTTGTACACAATGTTCACTGCAGCCTTATTCACAAAAAACAAAACATGAGAGAAATATAAATGTCCATCTACAGATGAATGGATACATAAAATGTGGTAATATACGTACAATGAAAATTATTCAGTTATAAAAAGGAAAGAAGTTCCAAAATATTCTATAACATGGTTGGAATTTGAAAACATTATGCTAAATAAAAGAAGAGACAGAAAAGGATAAATATTGTATAATGCCACTTACATGAAGTGTCTAGGCAAATTTATAAAGCTAGAAATAAATTAGAGCTAGGAGGAAAGGAGAATCCTAGTGTGGCACTATAGGGTAATCACTGGACTACTAACCACAAGATCAGTGATTCAAAACCACCAGCCACTCCTCAGAAACCCTATACAATGTCTTCATGAGTTGGAACCAACTCAACAGCATTTAACAGTAACAAAAACAGGAAGGAAAGGAGATTTGGGAGCTATTGTTCAATGGGCACAGAGATTCTGTCTGGTGTGATGCAAGTTTTGGAAGTAGTTGGTGGTGATGGTTGCACACCATGGCAAGTATAATTAATGCCACTGAATTGTATACTTTAAAATGGTTAACACGTCAAATACTACAATAAAAAAATTTAATTACTTGAGAGAAAAAAAATATGTACTTAAATTCATTTTATCTAAGGTAAACTTAGTTATTTAACTGTCAGTAAAAGGAGTTCTGGCAGCATAGTGGTTATGAATTGGGCTGCTCACCTCAGAGTCAGCAGTTTTAAACTACCAGCTGTTCTGTGGGAGAAAAGATGAGGCTTTTTGCTCCTGCAAAGGTTTACAGCCTCAGAAACTCTGTACAGGGTCGCTGTGAGTCAGAACCAACTCCACAGCACATAACCACCACCACCACCACCACCACCACCACCAAAAGTATATTTGTTCCAGAGGATAGCAGTAAATATAGAGGGGTCAGCACAGTAAAGAAAGAGTAAGATAACTTTTAGTGCTTCAAGTAGCCAGAGAAATGGTTACAGGGTCCAGAATGGGTGAGGAAAGAAGAAAAGAAGAATGGGATAAATGAGGGGTCTGTGTTTAAGAAATACACTTGAAGGAACACTGCATTATTATCTGACATTTGGTAGCTGCTCAATTATTATTTGCCAGTGGATGAATTCAGATTGAATGACTGAAGTTACAACCCAACCCATGACCAGTCTTCTCATTTTTCAGGCCAGGAAATAGGTCTGGGCCAGGTGTCCTATATAGCTTCTGCTTTCATCTTTTTCTGGTTTCATCATTTCCTACTTAATGTCTCTTTTTAGATTTAACACTCTGGTGAGTTCATCTCAAGTGCTACAGGCCAACCTAACATACAACGAGAATGACTTGATCCTGTTGAGATCCAAAATTAACATCATACTAAAGCTCTATCTGCAATCTGAGGTTCCTCCGAGACTCAGGGTAAGGGGGACTCCCACTCTGCTCTGGCCCTTTTACCAAGAAGCATTTCCCCTATAAGGAGACTAAAAGTGAATTATCAGACACTTTGTAAATACCATATCTTTTGTCTAGTAGCCCCATGAAACAATTCTCCTGCCTCCTGGAGAAGGGGTGGTCCTTAGTGTCCAGGGACCAAGAGAAGTTTGCTGCCTTCCCCAGAGCCTCTGCCAATGATGGGTTCTTACTCTGTGAGTAGGTAAATATCTCTGAACCCCAGAAGGAAGCCATCCTTGCTGCTATTTCGGAGGGGCAACTAGACCGGAGCATCTTCCACAGTGCTGTCATGTCTATCTTCCCCATCATTATATACTTCTGGAAAAGGTAACTGTCTTTCTTAACCCGAAGATCACAAGGTCAGGAAGATATGCTCAACTTTTTAGAGAATTTTCTGTCTGCCTCTAGATATCTGTTTTACAGTCTACAGTTTCTGGGAGGGTGTCATGTAGTTTTCAGTGCTGAATCTACCTTTCTTACTACATTGCTTGCTGACCTTCACACTCTCACCCTACACGGAATCAGAAGATGGAAGACAGAGCAAGACTGGGAGCCAGAATGCCTCGCTTCTCACTTTTCCTCTTCTTATGCTGGCTTGGAACACAGGTGTCATTTTCTCATAGGCCTAGATTCCTTGCCACATGGATGAGCATTGACTCCAGCTACTTGGGGAGAAATTCTACCAAGGCTAACATACCCATGCTTGTGTTTAAGGATCCTCACAGAGGAAGTAAGCCAGAAGTGGTTTTTTCTCTATGATGCCTCAAACCCAAACAACCAAACCCATTGCCCTGTAGTGGATTCTGACTCATAGTGATCCTGTAGGGCACAGTAGAACTACTCCATAGGGTTTCCAAGGCTGGGAATCATTTCAGAAGCACACTGCCACATCTAGATTCAAACCGGTTAGCTTTTGTTTAGCATCTGAGCACGGAACCACTTCACCTCCAAGCCTTCTCTGCAATGCCCAAAACCCCATAACTACCAATGAGGAGACACAGTTGCTAGAAAGTCCAATTTTCAACATGAACTAGAAATTCAGAAGTTTATATCAAGGCTAATGTGGCAAATTAAAATATGATAAGGAGAATTGTTGTTGTTAAATTATTAAGTGCAATTGCGTTGGTTCCAACCCATTGCGGCCCTGTATAGAGTTTCCAAGGAGCGACTGGTGAGCTTGAACCACTGGCCTTGTGTTTCAAATAGCTTTGCAGTCCAGCATATTAGCCCACAGTGCCACACCAGGACTTCATGATGAGGAATATGTGAAGGCCCAAAACAAAATGAAACAAAATATTTGCAGCCCAAATACAACCCTTACCCACTGATTCCTAACCTGTGCTGTCAAGGTTGGAGTTGAGGGAATGGGCTGAGGTTCTCTCAGCTGGTTTTTGTTGTTGTTGTTGTTGTTAAGTGCCGTCCAGTCAATTCCAACTCACAGTGACCCTGTATAGAGATTTTGAGGTGCAGCTGGTGGGTTTGAACCACCCTCCTTCAATTAGCAGTCCAGTGCTTAGCATATAGCACCACATCAGGACCCCTATTTACTCCTAAACTCCACCATGACTTCAATTCCTATCTTGTATGTGATGAATGATATGAAGTTATTGAAAATACCATGGCTTGGGTCAGGTACACCTTATTCCTCATGCTTACATCTTTGCTCTTCAACACTTTAAAAAGGTCTTGTGAAGCAGATTTGCCTAATGCAATATATCATTTGATTTCTTGACTGCTACTTCCATGAGTGTTGATAGTTGATCCAAGAAGAATGAAGTCCTTGACAACTTTGAGAGTAGGAATAACTAGGGATTGGGGGGATAAGGGAAGAAGAAATGGAGAGTGTTCTTGAGGGCTTTGGGGGATCAACAGTCCTCAGGTTACAATGAGTCCATGTGAGGAACTAGAGTCACTCACTAAGAATGAGGTAAGGGGATCAAAACTCTAACTGAGGGACAGGATGGAAATCATGGATCAAGATCAAGATCAAAACTCTAACTGAGGGACAGGATGGAAACCGTGGATCAAGACCTGAGAGGAGTCCAGTAAACTGCTCCATTACACCAGGTTAGATAAGAATACCATAGCCTGATGTTCACACGAGCACTCTTAGGATCAACTGCATCCAGCCACAGATACAGCAGACTCTTTACAGACTCTGTTCACTGGTGGAGAAGGAAGTCCTAACTGTCCAGACCAGGGCCTCACTGGAGCCAAGTCTGGACAAAGAGGAGGCCTCCAAGGAAGGGCCTTTAACAGGCAGCACTCCAAGGCCAGGATCCTCTGCCCTTCTCTGTTCTACTCCCTAACTCTCCATGAGGCCTGGTTCTAACCTCGCTTTCCTTGTGTCCAGTACTCCAGTCCCTCTCAGCCTGTGGTTTTCTCCCTTTGATTAGAACCATTCTTCTCACAGGTTTTGTTCTTGGAAGGCAACCCGATCTTACTTACAGTCCAGGGGAAAGAAGGTCAAGGATAAACGAACTCCTCCTAAAACCGTATTCAAGTACCCTCCTTGGAGTGGAGGTAAGCCCCACCAAGACTCAGTTTCATTGTCCTGAGAATGAGGCTTGAGAAGACAGAGTGAGAATCCAGGGGCTCTGCTGTAGGACATCACAGAAGCTGTTTGTTAGAGGGGTAGGTAGGGACACTGTTATCTGTGACTAGCAGTGCTAGCAAGAGAACACCCCACCCATGTACCACTCCCCAGTAGTAACTGCCAGGATGCTTCTGAGTGTGCCTGTCATCGCCTATATTGTGGGTAGACACAAGTGCCCATGTACTTCACTGTTGCTTACTAAGTCCTCTGCTCCAACTATCTCCAAACCTCTTTTTGAACACCATTTACTTCATAGTGTTAAGTGAGGAAACAAAAACATTGAATGTTAATTAAGATTTTAATGTGTAAATATGCATACAACAAGCCCTAGTAGCAAAACATTAAGCATTTGACTGCTAATCAAATGGTTAGTGGTTCCAATCCACACAGCAGTTCTGCTCCTATAAAGATTATAACAAAATCACTGTGGTTGACTCAATTCCAACTCATAGCAACCCTAGGACAAAGTAGAAAGGTCTCATAAGTTCCCAAGGCTTTAAACCTTCACGACAGCAGAATGCTGAACCTTTCTCCTATGGAGCAGCTGGTGAGTTCAAACTATAGACCTCTTGGTTCACAGTTGGGCACTTTAACTACTGTCCCACTAGTGTGTCACCCATAAACATGAGAGCCTAGGAAGCCTATGGGGTCTTTCTATTCTGTCACAAAGTTGACTCAATGGCATCGACAACAATAAAAACACATATACAAGGGTAAGTGAAAAAATATTGCTCCTGGGATTCCAGTTCATACATGCATGAGTTAATTCCAAACAAAGCCTGTTTATACATGTCTCAGTGATATGTGAAGGTCTACAGACAAGTTCTCGCAACACTGCACTGGTCTCATTAGGGTGTCTTCAAAAAAGAGTCCAATCAAGTAATGGCTTTCAAGCTGATCTGCTGGGTCAGTTCAAGGCAGAGAAGTCAGTTCAGAAAGTTCTGGTGACTGTGGTTTTGGGATTTCAAAGGGGTCATCTGGATGGATTTACTCAAAAGACACAGAACAATCACAGGGACTTCTTAGGAAGAAGTTTTGAGAAAACTGAAAGCTGCATTGGTGAGGATAAGACCAGGAAAATTGTGCCAAGCAATTCTTTTCCATCATGACAAGGTATCAACTTAGTCTTTAAGGGAGTGTCCTATGAGAATTTCATTAGGAAA